TTTTATTCTATTTTAAATTTGATGGAATTTTATTTAAAAAAGAATTTTAAAATTTTATTTTATTGAAATTTAGTTTTTTTATATGTAAAAAAAAATTATCGTGGGATCTTTTGATATCAAAATCGTATTTTTGATACTTACGACCTTATGACACATGCGTTGTTATTTAAATAATTAATATTAGATAAAGGTAAATAATGCACTCGTCATTCTTTGTCACAATTAAACAGGGTGGCCCGGGACAGCGTACCGTTGATTCGTTATATTTATAAATAATAATAATTATTATTAAAAAAAATAATTATTAAAAAATTTTGCTAGTTTTTATAGAACTATTATTTGTAATAATCGTACGGTCGTCGCTTAATATTAAGCTAATTATATAAAAATAAAAATTTGGATGTACAAAAAATAAGTGGCTCATAAAAAAATAAATTAAATAATAATTAAGAGCCTGTAGATTTTCCTTAAATGAAATTATTCTCAGGGTAGCGCTTAGAAAAAATAATATAAGATAAAAAAAAAAGTTTTTTAGATTAATGTATTTTTATTAGCGATTATTTGCGTAGTTATTTTGATGATTGAGAATATAAAAATGTATTTAGGGATAGAAATAGAAAAGTAAGTGCAATAAAGAGCCTCGTACATCGTCTCGAGCTGCCTTGACCAAAAGTGCATTACTATACGTTAAAATGTAAAATCTACATTTAATTAATCTACAAAGTACATTGATAATTTATTAAATAATAATGGTACTTTGCTTGATAATAAAGTTGACTGATATTAAATTTATAAATTAATGTAATATTACGGCAAGAATTCTTAAGGTTGATAGTGTAAATTGCGATATCTTAGAGCTTAATGAAGCTAAGCGGAGACATATAGCTCAATTATTATTAATAACAATTGATATTGATAAATTTATTAATATTAGCGAGGAACAGCTGGGCCAATTTGTAACATTATTATTAAATGGTTAATGTATGCGCGGGCTGAATGTAGAGTTGTTAATCTTCTAAAAAAATTATTAAAAAATTTTAAAAAAAATTTTAGGTGTTGTGGGATTAGTGCTTTAAAGTAAGCTTTTAATTTTTTTTTTTTATTAAACTTTTGAATAATTTAGTTTAAAAAATTTTACTTTTACAGTAATATGTTAAAAATATAAAATTAATTTGAACTATAAATATATAAAATTTTGCTTTATTAAATAACGACTTTGGTGAAATTGCACAGTACTTTCTTAACTATTGACCTTTTCAAAGATATAAGCTCATCCCGATATTACACTTATTAAGAGCTTTCATTTGAGTACCCACATGCATTTTAATATATTTTCCATATATATGTATATGATATGTACATATATATAATATATATAAATATATGAAAAATTGATGTGGGTACTTAAATGAAAGGTCTCGATGAGTGTAATGTCGGGATGAGCTTATGTCTTTAAAAATGTCAAAAGTTGACAAAATACAAGGTCATTTCTTAATTATTGACATTTTTTAAGATATAAACTCATTTCTATGTTATACTCATCGAGACCTTTCATTAGAATACCCACATGAAATTTTTTTATATATTTTATATATATGGTATTTGTGAAATATATAAATATATGAAATATATGAAAAATCGATGTGGGTACTCAAATGAAAGGTCTCGATCAATGTAATGTCAGGATGAGCTTATATCTTTAAAAATGTCAATAGTTCACAAGATACAAGGTCATTTCTCAGTTATGTATCTAGAGACAGAGCATTTGCGAATGCAGCCTAAATACTTATCATAATAAATTAACTATTGATGATAATAATATAAAACTTTAAAAAGGAGACAAAATTTTTTTTATTCTCTTAATAACATAGATTATTGATTTTGGATTAATTAATTAATTATTAGGCATACTTTAAGCACTAATGACACAACAATCTACTTTACATCTAGTGTAATAATACTTTATCGCACTAGTTGTATAAAGAACTACAAGTGTCGAGAAAGTTGACTGGAGTTTAGAAACCGAACAATAAATTTTTTGGAATAAAACAATAACAATAATAATAAAACTAACAATAAATGATTAATGATGTACGATGATAGTGCAATTATCGATTATACGGCAATATAAAAATGATATACTTATATGATATAAATCTATATATTTATTGAACTAAAAAAAGTAAAAACAAAAAAAATAATGATATATATTTATCGAATATTTATTGAGCAACTTCTAGCGGGTTAGTGCGACTGTACAAAGTAGAAACGCGAGGGAGAGATTGATTTAAATTAAATGCGTAATGTCTTTGTAAAGATATAATTTTTTTAATGAACAAATAGATAAATAGAAAATAAAGTTGATTTGATAAAAAATAAAAATTAATGATATAATAACAATTGAATTATTATGGTGCAGTGTTAGTCGTGACATTATTGTGTATTTATCGTCTCACGATTCACGATCGATTTTTAGGATTGTGGACGCAGTTCATGTTATATATCAGGGATTAGATTAATAGAATGTGCTGCGTTGAGTGGTAGAAGTTTAATAACGGTGGTGATAGTGGTGGAGGGAAGAATATTGTAATTTTAATATTAATAATATTAATAATAATACTAATAAGTAATAAGTAATAATGGTTAATATTAATTAGCGTGAACGATGAGATTTGCAATCGTGATAGTCGCCTCATAGTTTTATCTCTGAACAAAGAGATATTATTATTACTATTATATTACATTGATATTATTGTAATTGTAATGAGTAATTATTAATATTAATAATAATAATGGTAATAGCAATAAGTGATAAGACGAATAATATTAATTATTAATTAGATTGCCGGTGCAGGGAAGAAACTTGTCACCTTTGCCGAGTCAATTATACCGATGTGTCCATACTGACTCAATTATATATTAATATGTATTATATATCCGACAATATTGATTATTAAAAACTCTTAATACATAATTATCTTTTTTAGTCTTACCTTTTACATTTTTTTTTTTTTTTTTTTTTTTTTTTTTTATAAAACTTAATTTGTTTTAACGGAGCTTTTTTAATAAAAATTAAGTTAGCCGACATTTAATAATTTTTAGAATTTTTTTTTAACGAAAAAATGACTGCAAAAAAATTTTTTAAAAATGTCACTTGTAAAAAAGTTAAAAAACTGTAAGTGAAATTTTTTAAAAATATTTTTTTGTTTTAATTTAATTATTAAAAAAAAATAAAATAATTAAAAACGTCGAATAACTTTAGTATCATGATTTTTTAAGGGATTTCTTCCGATCTTTTTGTTTTTAGTAGATTTTATAGAAATCTAAATATTGTATTGGTCCTCATGACGGAACTTTTAAAAAATTTTGCTGTATTTCGACTATACTTGTCGAGCTGAGTCAGAAAATGCATGAAAATTAAGTTAGTCGACATTTAAAAATTTTTGATTTCTTTTTACACGCTTTTTTATTTTTTTTTTTTTTTTATATTAGCTTCACTTGTATGTCAGTATGTCAGTATGTAACTCTCCGTGGGTAATTTTCGCGCCTGCGGCCTATAATTTTTCTCTACAGTCGATAAGACAGGACTTGATGTTAATTTTAATTTCTAATAATTATCTTTAGCCAATTTCTCTAATATTGACTAATTTTCGAATACTAACGAGAATTTTAATCCTACAAAACAAATAATAGTTTAAAAAAAACTAAAAAATCACGCTTTTATAAATTAACCAAACTAAAAAGTAAAAAATAAATATTAGTTTAAAAAACTAAAAACACGCTTTTTATAGGAAAACCAAACTAAAAAATAGAAAATAAATTTAAATTAAGAATAGGGTTAAAAATTTCAATAAATATAAATCAATAATAGTGTAAATAAAAAAAAATGTATTTGATTTTAAAAAAAGCGTGGGGAGCTTTTTAAGATATTATCAAAATGATAATCACTCTACTCACATCTGTCAATAAAATATTTATAACTATTGACACCATGCACCCACGCTTTTTTTAAAATAAAATAATTTTTTTTTATTCACACTATTATTAATTAATATTTATTGAAATTTTTAACACTATTATAATTATTATTTTTATTGAATTATTAAGTGATTAATTAATTAAATTATTATTTTTATTAAATTATTAAAAATTTTTAACACTATTCTTAATTTAAATTTATTAAAATTTATTTTCTATTTTTTAGTTTGATTTTCTATAAAAAGCGTGTTTTTAGTTTTTTTAAACTATTATTTATTTAAATTGAATTGCAACTAAAAAAAAGATTTATAAAAAATTGCACATGTAGTTTTTCAAGTTTTTTACATGTGAAATTTTTTTTTTTAATTGTTTAATTGGAATTTTTTTATTAAAAAAAATTTCTAAAAATTTTTTAATGTCGGCTAATTTAATTTTCATAGAAAATACATATGGTTCAAAAGTTTATATATGTATGTAGATCCCATAATAAAATTGAGATGAAATGTATGTGGCATCAAAATATTCGTAACGTGATTGGTCGAATATATCATAAGCATGAAAATATATGCAAACTCTATAGTCAAGGCGCGCGCTTGCGCGCGTAAATTCAAATTCTAGTATATATTAAAATGCATGTGGGTACTCAAATGAAAGCTCTTGATGAGTGTAACATCAGAATGAGCTTATATCTTTAAAAATATCAATAATTAAGAAATGACCTCGTATTTTGTAAACTATTGACATTTTTTAAAGATATAACACATGTGTTTTTATTCAGAGAATAGTCTCCATATATTACGCATAATAAAAACGAATTTGTTGGACTGTCCGGGACATCTACCGGTGACCGACCGAATGGGAAAGTCTATAGTCTACTACTACTCTATATAATGCGCATAATAAAAACAAATATGTCAGGGACTTACTGTTTATTGTTTCACATTTCCAATAGTGATTAACAGTGATTAATTTTGTTTTATCATACTGCGACTGATGACCTGTTCTAGAAACTAGCTGTCAAAATGACAACTGAGAATAAAGAAATGTGTGATTTAACCAATGTTGTTTTACAAGTTAATGGAGAAAATCAAATTAATCAGGTAAATAATTTTCACCTTTCAAGAATTTTTTTAATTAATAAATTATAGCTGAAAAAATTGTCATGTAGAAATTTTAATAAATTAAAAATGCAATTTTTTATGACACTGAAGTTAATTAAGGAGGTCCTTTCGCCGCCAATGTAAAATAAAAAATATTAGATTATGAGTAAATTCAATTTTTTTCTAATAGTTAAGGTCCTTATTTATCTAATAGTGAGGTTTAAATTATACTTTACCGGACAAATTTTTGAAAAAATAAAATTTTTAAATGTTAGTATTTGTTCAGAGTCTTACGAGAAAGTCAGACGTTTGCAGTATTTCTCAAATTATACTATCAGTCATGGATTAGATGAAGTAAAAAAAAAACTAAAAATTAGATTTTCGAAATATTCAGGTTTCTTTTTTTGCAATAAAATATATCAGTTACCGAAATATTTATTGGGAAATTAATATTTAAAAATCACAAAAAATTCTCAAGTAACCTACGTTAAAATGGAGTCAAAACATTTGGCAACGTTGCGTAGCGCGCGAGCTTCAGACCATTCAATAAATTCAAACTAATTTATTTATTTACACTGACTGCAAAAACTTAAACGTGGTTAAGGTTATATTGTGCAAATGAAAATGTAAACAACCGAAGTACAGCATTGCCAAATCACGGACAGGTTACTAGCAGCTGATTTGGAAGAGTCAAATTAATTTTTGTATTTAACTATTTTTTTTTTTTTATTTTCAAAATTTCAACGATTAATCCCTCATATACTATTTATTATTTAATTTTAGGAATTTTTATGGGTTTCTTTTTTTAATTTATCCTATATTGACTACTACAATTGTTTTGACTCAACTGGAGCGAAAGGATTTTCTTTTAAATTACAACTAAAAAGATATTCATAAAAAATTGCACTTATAGTTTTTCAAGTTTTTTACATGTGACAATTTTTTTTTTTTAATTGCTTAATTGAAATTTTTTTAATAAAAAATTTTGAAATGTCGGTTAACTCTTCATTTTCATAATTTTGTAATAATAATTTTTCGGAGCTAATTTATTAAATAAAATTAAAAAAAAACTGTCAAGTGACAGCTCACTTTAATATCATAAATAAAAATAATGTGGAAATTTTTTAGAAGCATTTTATTGATTACATTAGAACAAAAAAAAATATTTTTTAAAAATTCCATTTATAGTCTTTCAAGTTTGTTACAAATGAAATTTTTTTTCTACTAATTTTCTCAATAAAAAAAATTAAAATTCTAAGAATTTTTAGATGTCAGCTAATTCCAGTATAATTATAAATAAAAAAATAAATTAATATATATTTTTAATTATTTCAGGACAACCAATCATTAAAAATTCCCAAAAGAGTCTTACATTTTTCTGATGGTGACTTAATTGAGTATTCTGATGATGAAACGGATTCCAGTTCTCCAGAAACTGACAAGCAACTCATAGATCTTGTAAATTAATTAATTATAAAAAATTATTTTTTAAAAATAATAAAAAGTCTTTCAATTCGAAATTCATAAATATTTTATTTTTTTAGAAAAACATCGGCTGGGTTCCATGGACTTGGTACCAGACCTCATGGGTAGGCTCTAAAGTACTCGAAAGTTGTGACTACGTTGGAGAAGCCCTGGCTAATTTTTTGGGAATTACATCTCCTAAATATTACTTTGAACTTGTAGAGTACCAGCGCCTCCAAAAATTGCAGGACGAGGAAAATAAAAAAGACCTTGAGATACAGGGGTGGAACCAAAATAATACAGAAACTTTAATAGTAAATGACATTAAAACTTCAAATCATTAATTCTTAAATTATTATTTTTTACTCTAAAAAATTACTTCAAAATTAATAATTCTAAAATTGAAACATCTGATAATTAAAAAAAAAATTATTTTTAAGGAGCTCCAAAAAGAAATCTCAATACAATTTTTTAAAAATTATTTTTTCGGTCTAGTTTATTAGAAAAAAAAAAAAAATTAAGTATGCTAATTGTCATAAAAATTAACATATTTATTTTTCAAGTAATTTTTATAATTCCAAGAAATTAAGTCTGCTATTAAGTTTATAAAAAGTTTAAAAATAACTTAATTAATATTATTAATTTAAAAAAAAAAAAACAAAACGCAATTGACAATTTATATATAATAGATATATTTTAATATATTCGTATAACTTAATTGTACAATTGTACGTTGAATTTATTATTAATAATTATTACTCTTTTTTTTCAGCAGTCTTTGATTAATAATTCAATTAATACGCTTTCTTACAGACATTAATGAAAATATGAATTGCCGTAATAAAAAATATACAATTGCATCGTATGGAAGTTTATTACCAATAAAATTTTTTAAGTGATTAATGATACTGAAATCAGAAGAAATTTGACAATTTTTATAATATTTTTAATTGATGAATTATAAAGAAAAAAATTATTTAAAAATAAATTTGTTTCATATTAATTCAGTAGAAAAAAAATTATCAAATGTCTTTAAATTTCAGTATCACAGTGACAATTATTATTTTTATTATTATTGAAGAAAAATAAAAAATAAAATATAATAAATCAGTACTACGAGGACTCTGGTACAAAACGATGAAGTGCACTGGTTAAGACTAGCAAAGAACTCTGAAGCCCCTGGGGCAAGTGTCTTTGTAACCAAGCTCCTTTGTACTGTTCAATATGCGCCAGCATTTTATTAGCAATGTCAGTTCTGAAAGTCGGGGGCAAGTTGCAGACTCCCAGGTTGATAACAGCTAGGCCCATGTTGCTGTTAGGATTAACGCCCACGCCAATAAGTGTACGACCAATACGACAGGCGGTGACCATTAAGTCGGCAGTCAGCTGCAATTCTTGAATGTCCATCGATCCGAATTTCGCAGTCAAGTTTGCTTCGTACAACGCGTGAGTCACGCGTTTTATTTGTTTAGTCATTCTCTATAAAAAAAAAAAATTTATTAATGATTTACTAGCAACCTTGCAGTCACACTATGTAATTTTTAAAGACATAAGCTCATCTCGATGTTACATTCATCAAAAGCTTTCATTTGAGTACCCACATGCATTTTTGATATATTTTTTATATATTCATATATTTTATATATATTATATATATGTATATATGAAAAATATATCAAAATGCATGTGAGTACTCAAATAAAAGGTCTCGATGAGTGTAACATCGGGATGAGCTTATATCATTAAAAATGTCAATAATTCACAAGATACAAGATTGTTTCTTAATTATGTTAATTGCACTGTACTTTCTTAAATATTGACATTTTTAAAAATATAAGCCCATCCCGATGTTACATTCATCAAGAGCATTCATTTGAGTACCCACATGCATTTTCATATATTTTTCATATATTCATATATATATATATAAATATATAAAATATATGAAAAATTGATGTGGGTACTCAAATGAAAGGTCTCGATGAGTGTAACATCGGGATGAGCTTATATCATTAAAAATGTCAATATTTCACAAGATATAGGGTCATTTCTTACTTATGTATTTAGAGATAAAGCATTTTAGAATGCAGCCTGAATACTTATCATAATAAATTGACTATCGGTGAGAATGATATGAAAAAAAAAAAAAATTAAACTTACAGCAAATAAATCAGCAGACAAATATTCCAAGTTAACATTGTCAGGGTCAGTGAGTAGCCTGTAGAGCGTAGATCCGCGATTATCAGGAATTTGCTGGAGATCATTGGCATCCTGGTTCTTGCTGAGAGTCAGAACCAAGGTGTCAACGCGTCCTAGTTCAAGAATAGTCCCTCCAATCTTATGTTCCAGGTCCTGGAACACGTGGATGTTCAAAATACTGGTCAAGTACCGCTGGCGCTTCATTAAATTAGCGACTTCGGAGTTCTCGTACAAGTCGACGGGCCCCAGCTCGATTTCTGTCGAAGGGTTCCAGGAGAGACCCGCGGCAATCAAGTACCCGAGCCAAGAGAAAGGGTGAGGAGTCAAGTGGTGGCTTCCGGACCAATGAGCAACAACTATTCCGATCGAGTTCTGCTCATGAGCCATTTTTAGGGCGTTCCTGGTGTTGATTAGCGTTGAACCTGGACAACCTGCCAGGCTATTGTAACTGGCAGTACCTAAAAAAAAAAGTTTTTTTTTAGCTTTGCCTATGGAATCTAAGGAATAAATAAATAAATAAATGAATTACCTGAAGAAGGTAAAACATTTCCACCAGCAGTTTTAAAAGCCTCAGTCCACTCCGAAAAATCATAGTCCGCTTGAAAGCCATACTCAACCAGAATAACATTGCTCGGAACGCTCCTGAACTCTGGCTTCGAGTGCAACCCATTGCTGCATAGCAGCAAAGTAGTATCCGAGCTCAAGTTCAAAATATGCCAGAGTTCTTGCAAGCAAGAGTAAGATTTAAAAACCTCCGACATGTCAGTCTCCACCGTCTCATTAATACTATTACTCAGATCTAAATTCTCCGGAGGAACCAACAAGCTAGCAAGCCTGGGTCCAACATGAACATAGCTTAGACTTGGAAAAATGGCCAGCAGTTCCTGGAACACGGGCCACATCTGAGTCAAATGTCGCTGGCTGACATTGGAGTCGACATCTAGGGCAGGAATGAGATTGAGATGCCGGTCTCGGCAGTACCGGTCCAGAGTAACCATTTCTGAGCGCGTGTAGCAGAGCTGCCAGTCGCAGCTGGGGTTCAATCTCGAGTATAAGTGCAAATGCGAGACTTTGAAAGACGACCACAGGTCAATTGTGTGCAGGAGGTACTCCAGAGTCGGAGTTCTTCCTCGTGGAGAAATGTCCAGCAGAATTCCACGATGCATGAACCTAGAGCATAATAATAATAATAATTATTATTATTATTATTATTATTATTTCAGAAAAAAAAATCACTCCGAATAAAAATAATTTTCATAAAAAAATATCTTAAACAAAAAAAAAATATACCAACCTAGGCTCGTCTTTTATCAGCACAGACTCAATTTCTGTAACTTCTGGAGAATTTGGATTTTTACTGAGCCGTAAAATTTGTACAAAAGTACAAACTGCGTAATGAAGCCCTGCAAGACTCCCCGCGCTTACTTTTATCGAGTTCTGTGATATGTAAAGCTGATAACCTTCCGCTAAATTAAACAACTTGCGGTTTACAATGCACTCGATTCTATTGTCACTGGTGAACCTTCCAGAGCCAGGCTGGACCTCTCCTACTTTAACATCGTGACCCAGCTCGAGTAAATATGTCCGACTTACTTCCCAGACGTCGAGAATGTCGTGGATAGACTCGCTGCCCTGGATTATTGAGATGAAGATTTCCTTCCCGGCGATAAAAGGCGGAGAGTAGTGGCTCAGGTCGATCACACTCTTGGGTTCAGGCCAGATAAGGTTCCAGGTGTTGGTTTTTTCGTGGGATCTTATGGGACTTGGGTGGTGGTGGTGAGGAATAGTGTTGTCGTTCACTGGGGCCAGAGTTGGGTCGTACAGTGGGTCCGTTGATTTTGCCGAGTCTATTGATAGCTGGCTCATGTTCGTTGATAAGTTCTTCTGGCTGAAGTTTGTCGAGTCGCTGTAGGTCACTGGGCTGTGTACGCTTTCGGATTCTTTGGGGAGGTAACGCTGTAGGAGCGCATGGACTGATGGTTTTTGACGGGATAAGTCGTAGGGGCTTTTGCCAGCAAATGTTCTGGAAAATATTTAATAATTTTAGTTATTTTGTGAAAAATTATTATTTGTTTAAGAAAAAAAAATTTACATTTTAAAAAATTTGTAGTTTTTAAAGATGAGTAATTTTTGGTGGAAAATTAAAATATGGATTTAATTTTGAAATAAAAAATATTTAAAGATTGAAATCAAGAAAAAGATAAATTAATCTATATTATTAAGAGAATAAGACAAATTCACATTTTTAAAGATATAAGCTCATCCCGACAATACACTCATTAAGACCTTTCATTTGAGCACCCACATCAATTTTTCATATATTTATATGTATTATATATATGTATATATAAAAAATATATGAAAATGCATGTGGGTACTCAAATGAAAGATCTCGATGAGTGTAATATAGAAATGAGTTTATATCTTAAAAAATGTCAATAATTAAAAAATAACAATGCATCTGGTTATCTAATGACATTTTTAAAGATATAAGCTCACCCCAACATTACACTAATTCAGACCTTTCATTTGAGTACCCACATCGATTTTTCATATATTTATATATTTCACAAATACCATATATATAAAATATATAAAAAATGTCATGTGGGTACTCAAATGAAAGGTCTCGATGAGTATAACATAGAAATGAGTTTATATCTTAAAAAATGTCAATAATTAAAAAATAACATAGCATCTGATGACCTAATGACATTTTTGAAGATATAAGCTCACCCCGAAATTACACTCGTTGAGACTTTTCATTTGAGTACCCACATCAATTTTTCATATATTTCATATATTTATATATTTCACAAATACCATATATATAAAATATATAAAAACTGTCATGTGGGTACTCAAATGAAAGGTCTCGATGAGTATAACATAAAAATGAGATTATATCTTAAAAAATGTCAATAATTAAGAAATGACATTGCATCTGGTTATCTAAAAATCTAAAAAATCGTAAGATGTCTATTTATTTTTTAATTAATTTTTCACTCAAGAGTATGTAAAAAACATTGTTAAAAAAATCATAAGCAAAAAAAAACTTTTTTTTTTTTCAATTTAACATACTTCGGAAGGATAAAAAAATTTCTAATTTTTTTTGGTACTAAAAACATAAAAAAGTTTTTAAAAATTAAAATAAAAATTCCTAAATATATCCAACCACTTGCAAGGTATTTAATTAAATAACTTTTAATTATTTAAATTGTATTAATTAAAATAATTACCCTTGAAGTGCCCGGATGTGAGGATTAGCACCTGCTTGTAACAATTCTTGACATATTGTAATTTCCCCGCGACTTACTGCTTCGTGTAGAGGTGTTGCTCCGCAGCCATTTTCCGCATTAACATCTGCACCACGATCTAGAATATTTATTCTATTATTTAATTATTCTTATTAAAAAAAAAAAAAAAAAAATTAAAATAAATAATTAAAACAATTTCTTTCTTACCGATAAGACACTCAACTACTTCCTTATTTCCATAGCATGCCGCCCAATGCAAAGGTGTATTTTTACTGCCTTCTGAATCCCATGAATTAACATCAATGCCCGCTTCCAATAATTGAATAACTCTATCTATTCTAAAGAATAAAGTATTTTTAAATATTTAATTTAGAAAAAGTATGAAAAATTGACAGATTGTCATACTTGTGATAAGCATTTTAAAAAAGTAAAAAATACACGCCTACGCATTAATTATTCCAAGAAAAGGCGTATCTAGACATTGTTTAATCAATACTTGTAAAGATAAACTGATAAAATTTTAAGTATAAATTTTAGCTGTGTAAAAATATAATATAACTCACTCCGAGGCAGCGGTAGCACGTAATAATTCTTCGACATAAAGCAAACGAATTACTTCACTGGCTGCGACGTCAACTGCGTTACGTCCATGTGCATTTTTTATCGCTGGATCCGCTCCGCAGCTTAATAATGTTCTTACAACATCAACTTGATTTGTCTAAATTAAAAAAAAAAATAGATTTTATGTAATTTTTACTTAATTTTTACAAAAAATTATCAAATCAGCTGACATTAAAAATTGTTTTTATTAATTAAATTAGAACGAAAAAAATATTATTTAAAAATTGCACTTATAGTTTTTAAAATTTTTAATTTTTGATAACAAGAAAAATTTGTAAAAAAAAAAAGTTATTTTAAAAAAATTGCATTTTTAATTTTTTAAAATTTTTAAATTTCAATTTTTTTACTCTAATTTTTTTTTGCTATAATTTATTTGTTACATAAAATTTTAAAACTATTAAATATCAGCTAAATTAATTTTCATCAAATTTTTCTATTTTTTTTTTAAAATAAAAATTCTAAAAATTGTCAAATGTCAGCTAATTTTATTTTAATTAATTTTAAATTATAAAAATTAAATTGTAAAATAAAAAGTAATATTTATAAAATATAAAAGAAAAAATTTGACATGTAGAAAATTTAAAAAGTTTTAAGAGCAATTAAAAAAAAAAATTAAAAATTAACAATTACCTTTGAAGCGTAGGATAAAAAAGTACCCTCCTCCAAAAAAGGTTGGTTCAAAATTTCATCCCTGGTTATTCCTTCACCGACATTTCCATTGTCACCTAGTTTATAAATAATTGTAAATAATACATTAGTTTTACACTAAATGTCAAATTTTACTTGAAAAAAAAAAATGGTCGGCTTTTTTGAAGGTTAAACACTGAGATTTTTGTATACATACAGGCACCGAGTAAAGATCGGAGGATGTCAGTGCGACCGTGATCAATCGCAGTCCTTATATCTGAACAAATATCTTGCATTTTATCTTATTTTTATTATTTGTTAATTACACTAATTATTGCCATTTAATTTCATCTTAAAAACTACTTTTTTATTTAAAAAAAATATATAATATAAGTTTTGTGGTTATTTTCACTTCCACGGCTGTCAATTCGATTTAGTATAAAAAATGGACGGATTTTTTGTGCCAGTGGCCAGGACTGAAAATTATTTATGCCTAAAATGTAGATCACTACTTTTAACAGTCGGTAAATTTTTTAATAATTATTAATTTTTTGCTATTGTTAGCTACAAAAATTCTAAAAATTATCAATAATCTGGTAAATTAATTTAGCAGATATTTAATTATTATTGTAACAAATTATGGCAAAAAAATTGACATGTAAAAATTAAAAACTCAATTTTTTAAAAACAATTTTTATTTAATAAATTTGTTCATTAAAGATAAATTAAAAAATAGTCAAGTAACTGCTGCTTCTTATTTAATTAAATAATGAACATTAATTTAATAGATATTTAATAATTTTTGTTATATATATATTTATTTGGCAAATAAAATTAGAAAAAAAGAATTGAAAAGTAGAAATTAATAAAAAAAATAACAACTTTGCTTTACTAAATAATGATTTTTGTTAAATTGCACTGTACTTTCTTAAATATTGACGTTTTTAAAGATATAAGCTCATCCCGATGTTATACTCATCAAGAGCTTTCATTTGAGCACCCACATGCATTTTTCATATATTTCATATATTTATATATATATGTATATATGAAAAATATATAAAAATGTCATGTGGGTACTCAAATGAAAGGTCTCGATGAATGTAACATCGGGATGAGCTTATATCTTTAAAAAATGTCAGAATTAAGAAAGTACAGGGCA